AAGTACCTTCTCGCTCTAAAACTCAATGAATCTGTAAGTCTTCAGGAAGCTAAGAACTATACGAGATCACACAGAAACCTTTCCTTTTCCTCTCCTCACCCAACCTCCTTGCTCAACCCATAAGCCGCTGAAACTAGAAATTATCTTCTTCTAAGTTAGAGATAAAATAAAACTCAATTTTTCAGGGCTAGCAAAAGCAGGACTGGGCCATCCCTGGTGTCTAATATTTTAGGTCAAAAATAGAGATTGTGTGTGGTCATAAATTGTAATGACTTTTATGCACAGGGTTATGACTTTCAAAATGAAGTATATTAAGGCTTTGCCATGTCTGGCCATCACCTCCAACAGGCCCACAAATGTCTGGTACATATGCTTATGTTGTGCTATCACTTGACTACTTAGCTTTTCACTCTATTGAAAATGAAAGACTAATATAAAGTCACTACTTTGGGTTCTTTGCCCTATTACATGCTGTTACTGGTTCTCTACTTTAGATGTGAATGGTCTAAGCTTCAGTTTCCCCATTTGAAAATTCAGGGTTTGGGACCCCAAAATGGAGCTCTAACATTTTATATTCTAAAGCAAGGTTTCTTAAACTATGGCCTGTGAATTTGTCAGAAAGATTAGATAGATAGATAGATAGATAGATAGATAGACAGACAGACAGAAAGGGATGGATAAGGAGAGAGAAAGTATATTTCAATGTAATCAATTTCTTCTGTAATCCTAAGTATTTTATTTATGCATTTAAAAACATTATTCTGAAAAAGAGTTCACAGGTTTCATCAAACTGTTAAAGAGGACACACAAAAAAGAAAGATCAATAGGGCAGGTAGGTGGCGCAGCGGATACAGCACCGGCCCTGAAGTCAGGAAGACCTGAGTTCAAATCCGGCCTCAGACCAAAGACTTGACACATACTAGCTGTGTGACCTTGGGCAAATCACTTAACCCCAACTGCCTCACCAAAAAAATAAATAAATAAACAAAAAAAAAGAAAAATCAAGAACTTCTGTTCTAAAGTCTCAGAATATCTGTAAATATGTAATGTTTATAACGCACTTAGCACAGTACCTGGTAGGTGCTTAATTGATGCTTGTTCCTTCCTCCCTCTTCCAGATCTAATACCTCTTATACATCAAGAAGTGGTGGTTTTCCCCTCCTAGTAGGTCTTCAAGCAGAGGCTGGATCACCACTTGTTGGACGTGTTGTATAGCTGAGATGCTTCTACCTATAGGGTGGACTATCTCGCCTCTGTGATCCCTTCCAACTCTCACATTTTGTGACTCTGTGATTCTATGTACTAAGACCCCTTCCAGCTCTAGTATTCTAGTTATAAGGTCCCTCCTAACTCTAGTTCTCTGCTCCTATCACCCTTCTAGTTTTAACATCCTGAGTTGTAAGACCCTGTCTATCTCTAAAGTTCTATGATTCTATGGTTAACTTTGAAATCTCAAAATTCAAATCCTCCAATGAAACCATAATGGCTTTCACAGTCACCTCCTGATGGCATCGCAGACAAAAGTGCCACAACTGTTCTCCCTATTCTACAGCTCTGGAAAGTGACTCAGAGGTTAGTCAACTTTCTCAAGGTCTCAAAGGCCTCAGTGAGGACTCAGCAGTAGATCCCCAGCCTCCTGACTCTTGTTGGAAGGAAGACAAGCTGCATATTCCTTGTATGGTACTTATCCAATCCAAGAGCACTGAGTAATTCCTAGAAATGCTGCAGGGTCTGTCAATGAATAAACATGGAAGACAAATGGGGCTGCTGTTTGCATTTCATCATTTTCTGGAGCATCTGGTAGAGGTGCTGAGCTTGGCATTGTTCACACATCAATTTCCAAAGTTTAGAAGTTAGTATTAAACAATTACGACTTGCCAGCTGCAGGTTGTTTTGTGTTGGGTTTTTCCTGATGGCTATTAACTTTTACAATCCCCTTCTTTCTCACTTTGACTTCAAGAAAATTGATGGAGTCACAAACGCTCCACTGGAGATATTAGATGAACCCCAGGATTAGGTTGTTTTTTTTAAGTTTTCTGCGTGCAGACTCTAATGGAAAAGACAGTATGATATGGTGGAGAAAGACCTCGACTTGGGTCCAGAAGAACTGCAT